TCATCCTTGCCACTCAGTTAAGAATCTGTTATAAAGACAGTTGTTACAGTCATTGTAAGGAAAAAAAAATCACAATGAAAGCTAATGGACTTGGATTTTTGGTGGGAGAATGGTCTTGAAACACACAGATTTCACACAGCTCTTACCAACTGACCTTGTGATTGTCAAACTGGTCTAACAATCTCAATGTTCTAGTTGAACATAATTTATTTTTCTGTATAAATGACTGATAATATTGAATGGTTTAGAGAGATGCCATTTCTTACTTGTAGATGTCTGGCTGAATTTCACTGCAGCTTAGTAGTGGTGTCACTTTCCAAAGTCTGTTTAATACTCATCACCTTGTTTCCTAGATCCTGCAGCACAGATATTCATATCAAGCACGGCTGCGTGGAGATACTGGAGAGTTACTCGTGTTAGTTACCCATCTCAAGAAATGCTGATCAGAGCTCAGTGTTACTACACATTTTCTTTTCACCAGGAGCATTTGGACTGGCTCATCTACATGCTTTGTCTCTGTAATCTTGTGTCAACCCACTGTGAATATTTTAAAAGCTACACACTGACAGTACAACAATGCTTTTATTAAATCCAAACCTTATGATTATACATAAAACCCTCAGTGTTGGATTAATTTCAATAGTTTGAGCCGTATCATTTTCTTTAAAAATAGCAGATTAAAAAGATTCAGAGACTGCCAAAGCATCTAAACATATTTCAAGACTTGTATAAAAGGACTGCAGACCTTTTGTGTCATTTAACCTTAAATAAAAATAAACTCAGTTATCTTGTCCTTCCATTTTCACTTCATCACATGAAAAGCAGTTCTTACCACTAGCAAAGATCTTTAAACCACCACCTGAATTTGCTGTTTTCTTGGCATCACTGTCATACCAATGAATTCCAGGGGCTGTGAGAGTCAGCAGGACTATCAGCTGCATGGAGTTAAACAATATCACTTATTCCATTTTCTGAATCACCCAATTAATACAACAAAATGTTTTTCTACCAGTGACACACAACTCAATGACAACAAAATTCCCAAGACCCTAATTTTTAAAAAAGCTTTCCAAAAAAGTTTTCAGAAGTCATTTCTCAAATTCACTACTGCAAAGTAAAGATACCTTCGGGAATTACCCAACAAAAAGTTAATATATGTATTTAACTTCAAAATACACTCTAGTTGTTAGTCTACATGGTGGCATTTAATTCACTGGGCAACATGAGCTGCAGTTGCTGTACAAGATGAGTGCCTAACCAAGTGGTATATAAATAGCATTGAAACACAGGGATATAAATTCCAGAACTTCATAAAACAAGTTCATTATTCACATGTTGTCAGGAAGACACTCTGTTTCAAAGTACATGAGAAAACAGATGAGATGTATGTGCTTTTGAGCTATCTGAAGGATAACAAGTGGGAAGAACGATACCTTACAGTGTATTCACATTATCCAGCCCGCTATGGCAACCTCATTCTTTGTTTCCAAAGTGGGCAACTCCACATTTCCTTAATAAACAGTTAAACCAGAGAAAGCTTATATTTGCAGGACCACTTCAAGAACAAAAGTTTTGTCTTCCTACCATCCCCTCAGTGACAAATTACCCTCTTTAATGTCACAACTGTCCCTTTTCCTTCCACTGCTGCAACACTCGATCTCTGAGATCCACTTGTGCAGCCTGGCAAGCAGCACACCAAAAATCAGGGGTGTTGACAGCACAGCCCTTCTGGATACGAACATACCCACATCAGATTGCTTCCCTTAGCACAGAAAAGTGGGCACCAAGCTTAGTCTTTGCATTCCACATTGTGCCGCCCTCTTCCCAAAACCAAGACTTAACACAAACATTGACCAAATTCCATGCAAACATACACCAATCTAATTTCTTATGGCTAGTCGTGTCTATATGAGGAAACCTGCAAAAAAATGTAGGGTATTTTTTTTTTTTTTTTGGTCAGAGCAGAGCATTTTAAAAGATACTGCCTCTTTGAACTTCCAAGTATTTTTTGACAGCTTTGCTGCTACAAAGAGACAAAGCCCTTGCCAGCTGCCATTCAGTACTCAGTAACTTTACCCCTCAGGAGCCTTTACATAGATGTGCACCCCTGTTATGTTGCTGTATTACAAAGACTTCCATCCTCACCAAAACACCGAACTTCTGCCAAGCTTTGCTGGTTTTCTTCAGAATTTAGTTCTGAACACTTCTGTTAAAGAGTAGAAGAGGGGTAGGGGAAAACTTTCATCCACAAACTAAGGTATATTCTTCCAATTTGCCAGTACAGAGCATCCATGAAGTGCCCTGGAAGTGAGATTGGTTCCTTCTCGATACAAACCTCTGAGGTCATTTCAGTTTGCATAATTCTGCATACAGACGTTTTAATAATCTGCCATTAGACTTACACATAACAAAAATGTATGCCTAACTGGAACTCCCCAACACCTTCCAGTGAGTCACTCACATTTAAAAAAGGGCACTGTGAAGGCTTTATTACATTGTACATGCCATTTTTCCTAACAGCCAGTACAAAAATTTGTGCAGTACTGAACACCAGTTGAGTACTGAGTGTCTGTGGGGATGGCTGCCAGCTCAGATGCTCTGCCCTTCTCCTACAGCTTCTTACTCCAGCAGCTGACTGATTGTGCCTGCTTCACTTGATTTGTGCTTCGTTGCTTTCTTGATTTCTCCTCATCACTCTCCCTGAACAGCCACTCTATGCTCTACTAATCAATCTGTCATTTTTTTTACTGTATATGGTATTGGGAGTGAATTGTAAAGAATTTTTTCCAAATTCCCCGTCAGTTGCTGTTTTGGTTTGACAGATACACAGAAGATTTTATTTTCACCACCACCCCTCTTCAGACCCCTTCGATTTGTCAGTGCAAGCAGCCACCTTTCACTTGAAGGAAATCACTAGCACAACTTGAACATGGCATTGTCAGATCATCACCAATTCCATCACACCTGGGGCTTCACTTGCTCTCTCCAGAATTTCATTCAGGCTGTATCTGTTGCCCTCTGTATGTCAGATCAAACAGAGCAAAAGTTTCCATCAGCAGTAAGATTTAAATCTAGTTTTTCTGTAATTCAGTTCAAAACGACAGCTTTTAGACACACTTGATACCTTCAGAATGGGGTCAACATTTAAGAGAAATAAAGTTTGAAACAGATGCAGTAACAGTCACATTAATACACATATTTATTTTAATTGTCCTAATCAGTTGGAATGTGGAAGCATTTCAGCAGCCCAACCTTCCAAAAGTTCACTATTATACATGGCTTACTTACAACAAATACATCAAAGAAAAAGAGTGACTGTGGATATTTTCTCCTGAACGTACACTGTAACAAAACTTTCAAGTAGCAGAGAAGTGTTCCAGCACAACTTTTGCCTTCCAGCATTTTTTGCAGTGTACTGGGTACTAACAGAAAGAATGCAAGAGCAGCTACAAGAAAATAAATTCACCACTGCCATGATTCAATACCCACATATTAGAAACTGACACTTTGCTTCTGTGAAGTGTAACAGCATTCACAACGTAAATCCACACCTTGTCACTTTCAGCAGCCCAAGTAATGCAACATCTGTGAATTTCAGTGCTTTATAGAGAATCTGAGAGTAGCTGGAAAGAAAAAAAACAACATAGTTTGGGGTAGGAGGGATAAAGAGTCTCCCAGTTAAACCATATGCCATACTGTATATTCCCACCTACCACAGGCCTGCAAAATCAACTTGCAAGAAGTCAGGTACTCTTTTTTTATTTTTATGCAGCCTTTTGTTTTCTAGATGGAGAGGCTTTCTGATGTTGCAAGATATAAAAGACCTACTCAAATGGGAGAAGGAGGTCTATGGGTACTGATGTAATACAGCTACTCAGCAGGCCTGAAGAGCTCAGCAATCTCTTGACATATTTTCACTTTGAAAATTATTCCAGATGCTTTTAGGAATAGACAATAGTAATAGCTGCTTTTGACAAGGACATCTGAAAATCTGTGAGCTCCTTCAGATTGTGCTAAAATAAGTGTTACAGCCTGCCAGTTTAAAAACAGATGATCAGCTCCAAGCCTCATTTCACCTGGACTATCACCACCAAGACCATGTTCACCTGCAGCCACGAGGTTGCTCTAGACACCTCTTCACCCAGGCCAGTATTTGCCTTTAATGATAACAAAAGGGTCAGAAAATTAGTCCTATCTCTGCAGAGGCAGGAAGCACTTCAGATCTCATAGTTAGATACTCTTTCAAAAAACACAGGCTTCAGCCAAGTAGGATAGCAAGACACAGCAAAAAAAAAAAAAAAAAAAGAAGAGGAGGAAGAAATTAGCTCAGAAGCCGTCCCTATCCCTCCATACCCTTGTGTGAATGAAAAGGAACTAGACAAAGAACAAGGCACTGTTACAGAATTACTTGCAGAACAGAGAAGTCTGTAAGCAAATAGGAGTCACATTTTTGGTTTGTTCTCACTGCAAGTATTGTGACAACTCTACTGGGGATCACAACCATGATAAGGCTGCACACACTAAGGAAACTGGAGTTAGTCCTGGCCAGACTGATGTTCCTCAGCTCAAGAAAGCAGGCAGGACTAAATGTAAGGGAGGCCCCATATCCTCCAGTTTCTGGACCCTTAGAAAACAACACAATTTGCACACTTACCCTCTGCTTTTGGGTTACCTGCAGCATTGTTTTGCCCAGATTCCCCATATCGTTATGCTCAGTAAGTTTAGGCACGGCTGACTGCTGGAGTATCTGGAAAGCAAGACTCATGCAGAGAAGATCTATTTTACACACTTAAGGGTTAGTGACTCCATCTGGGGATACCAACAGAGTTCTGGGACACCAGTGAGGCTCTAAGAAATCTTGGGGTTTTTTCACCCCTGTCCCAGTTTTAGGCTATCACTGTTCAAAATAACACAGGTGCTAAGTCTTGGCCTTCCTAGAAGTAACTTCAGACTGAGAAAACAAAGTGGTCTACATTTTAAGACTCCCCCACTTCACTTACCATCACTTTCACTCTTACTTTTTAAGTCTTCCATCCACGTTGGAATAGTTTGTAACGCAACATAATCCCCCAAGTACTCTTTGCGTCTTTCTTCCAAGGTCATCTTCAGCAAACGCTCTGTTTGGGGGGAAAGAGAAACAAGAAAAGTTTTGCAAGCTTTCATACATTGTTGCAGACGAGCCACGGTGACCAGTGCACTGCCCTTGATGAAGGAAATGCCACTTGAGGGGACCCAGCACGAGTGATGCAGGGAGTGACAACAGCAGCTAAGCACGGTGCAGCTGTACAAATGCACACGCCTGTTTCTGGCTACCCCAGCTCTGCAAAGTTAACACCTCTCCCCACGCTCTGGGCTGTCCAGGCCTCCTCGCCACATCACTGCTGTGCTGCTTCTTCCTGCCACTTTGATTCCTGTATCAGAGAACAGCAATTTTAGTAGGGAATTCTGGTTTTGTAGGGAGTTTTCAGGTATGAAAGTCTGTTCTGTAGGCTTTGCGTTTCTAAACCAGAACTAAAAAAAAAAAACCAAAAATTCAAGTGACGGTAGGGAGCATGGTGGGAAATTATTGAAATGCTACTACATAACAAAAGAGATCAGAGCTACAGAAAATGTTTTGTCAATTGCCAGGTGTCTGGGATAGTAAAAAAGGTAAGTTTAGCTTTAGAGATCTTCATTTGAGTATTAATAGGATGCACCTAGTTACCACACTAAAATACATATGGCCAGTTGTTTTTGTTTTCTACTGAGAATGTCACCACCTCTTTTTTCAGATGTTTAGTGAAAAGTAAAGCCTCCAACATTGCACAAGTATGACAGCAACTGCCAACTTTATTCTTCTTCAGACCCTGCTATAAATGGACTTTTACATGAAAAAAAGCCATCCCAATGACCCAAAACTGCAAGCAACCTCAGCACTTCAGCTCATTTTTGCAGTAACATCCTCTTTTCCCTCTCTACCTCATCAGTGCTTCGTATTAGCTCAGCACAAGATGAAGAGCTTTTTCCCTCCCAAAAGAAGAGGGGAAAATAAAAAGACCAGTAGACACCCATACTCTACCCAAATTTCTCAGTCTGTTTTCACCAGTAGCACTGTGCTACTTTAACCACACTAACAGTTTTTCTTGACATGTTAATCAGTAATAAATGATTTTCAGTGACTGAAGAACTTTTAGGGGTGTGGGGAAAGGCTAGACCTATATTATTTGCATTTTACATAAAGGACTAGGTAGACATAAAAAGAACATTTTCATCTCAAGCTGAAGCAGCAAAAGATGAACACGGAAACTGCTTCTCAGGTCAAATCTTTAAAAACCAAGAAAGAAAATGACTGGGGTCTGGTTTGGAGTTCTTTTGTGTTTTTTTCAAAATAAAGTTTCCTAATTATGTAGGCTGCAGTCAGCACAGTCTAATAAGGCAAGTTTTGAGCACAGCCTTCCTTAACAAAATAAGTTCATCTTGGTATTTTTTGACAATATTATCAGTACCTTCATTTGACAAAAACATTTATCTCTCCTTACTCAACCTGGCATCTCAGTGGGATATTTACACCTGCCACCAGAACTGACTAATGAGGGTCACCATTCTGCACAGCTCCATATCCACCTCCGTTACCCAAGCTCCAGGGATACAAAACTCCAAGTATGTGACATGCACACTGAAGTCCTCCAGGTGGGCAGACCTGAGAGAGCATGTCAGTTTTGAGGGACTGACAAACAGAGCCAGCCTAGGTGCCTTTAGCTGAAGAGGTGAGAGAGCCACTCTTGTGCCTTCAAAACACAAGTTCTTTTCTACAGGAAGGTTTTACAGAAGTTTGCTCTCGTGAGTCAGCAGCAAGAACTTAAATTGAGTCTTACAAACCTCCCGGAGGATGCTCCCAACAGCCTTCACCACCAGCACAGGTTTCTGCCTGTGGCAGAAACTTGGGAAGTTTGCAGGCAGCCCAGTCCTGTGTCTAAGGCTCTGAAATCACCTCCACTCCTGCTCCTGCTCCGTTTCAGCTGTCCTCACGGAAGATCTCCCCTGAGAGGACGTGGACCAAGCCTTAATTACCAAGAAAGTAATTAAGAAAAGCAAGCGTATTGTCAGTGGGTTTGAACTCAATATTTAGCAATCAGTGCTTTTTTCATTTTAGGAAGTGCTTCAGAATATAAAAGGCTGAGAGCAACTGCACTCAGAGCTTCACGGGAAGAGCAGAGCCAGTGAGCACAGCCAGCTTTGCAGGGGTTCAGGGATGCTTGTGTGAAAGGTGAAGGCAGAACTGACAACATTTGATTTCCAAAGTATTGACTGGGTAAGAAGGGAAGAAGTTGGGCTTCTGTAGTTTTCCTCCCTAGTGAACTAGGTACTTGAAAAGAACAGTCCCACAGGGCTAAAAACTGAAGGGCAATGCCAGCAATGAAGAGAGAAGCTTTTTCTACCCTCCTCCCTCAAAGTACTCAGGGCCAACATCAGCATGGTGCTGGAACAGTTACTGGAGCAGAAGACTGGCAAATGCTCTTCGTTCTCACTGGGCAAAAAGACAGGGAGTTGTGGCCAGCTAGCACTCAAAAATGCATCCTGGATGGAAAACCTTCAGCAGCATTGATTTGCATTCACCATGCTGATGGAGACCACCATCCTCATAGCAGACTGAGACACCAGAAGTGTGTCACAGCAGCTCCAGTTCCCAGACCCTGCACTCTGCCCTCCTTACTAATGGCTGGAGTTCACCTGCCAGGCTATGAATTCACACAGACAGTAACAGAGCTGAAAGAGACAAGTGGGAGTAATAATAACATTCACCAGAGTAACTTTTCCCCATCTGCCCCTTGTATTTTTCAAAGGTAAAACATACAGCATTAAGGGAAAAGTCGGTTGTAATTGATCACACATAAACAATGCTTGAGACAATTTAACTGTACTTTTTTTCACTGAAAACAGAAACTTCTGCCAGGTAGAAATTTGTTGCCTCACCTTTACTACAGAAGCATGGATTGTAAGGTGGTTTGAAAGAAAAAGACTCACTTCATTTGAGAGGAGTTTGACAGGCGCAACTACCCTACAGAAAAATAAGTTCATTTCTGTTTTAACAATTTTTCCTTAGAAATGTGCACTTGAATCCTCTTCTCTGAACTGGTCTTCAGCCTTCTTAGCTTGAAACAGAGTCACAAGGATGATGGAAGACAAAAAGAGAACTTAAAATATGACCCTAGGATAGCTATTTCTTCCTCTCCTCATCTATTACTACATTACTTGGAACACACCGGGCAAGAAGCTTTCCTCCTCACAGATAAAAACGTTGCACTTCCACTCTGTGAATTTTTTTCTTAATTTTTAAATCGGTCTCCCCGGGATCAACATAAAGTACCAACAAAACAATGCATCAAATGCTTGGCCCACAGTTTTCATGCTCTGGAGTTTGACTTAGAGGCTTTATAAACTGAGAGTACGTCGGTCGGGGTCCTTAAAATACACATAAAAATACATAAACAGTTCAAAAGATGGGACGTAGGGGTGCTCTGAGACTCCCACACCCCAAACATTTCACCCCGGCTGCACGACACTAGAATCCGAACTGATTACACCATTGATCCCAATAAACCACGCTTCCCCTCAGAAAACAAACCCATTGAAAGGAGCAAAAGCACGTTTTGAGAGCATGTGCCCAACTTTTCGGCCTGAAACACTCCCACAAGGTGACTTGGGGGCGGGCAGCCCTCCGGTGAGGGGTTGTTTACCGCCCTCCCTCGCTCGCTTCCCTCCGCCCCGGGGCTCCACTCCTCACGGATACGCCGAGGTCTGGGGGAAACATCCCCAATTCCCGCACGCCCGGGCTGCCACGAAGGCTGGTTCAGCCAGGAGACCCCAGGACAGACGCAGGGAACACGGAGTTCCCCCTTCCCCACCCCGTCCCTTAAGGCGCGGCCGGCGGCAAGCGCTGCCGGACACCCCCCGGTGAGGCGGCGGCTCTGAAGGCACCGGGACCACCCCCCCCCATTCCCTGGCTCCCTCCCGGCTCAGCGTGGGCTTAAAGGCGGGAGAAGCGGGCCCGGCCACCGAGAAGGGCGATTATACCTTTCTCCTCCCGCCACAGCTTTTTCCGCTTGTTGCCGGGGTACATGGTGGTGTGGCTGGCGGCGGCTTTGAGCTGCAGGTTCCCCAGGCTCACGAGGGGGTGGAGGAGACGCCGCGCCAGAGCCAGAGCCAGAGTCGAGCGATACCGACGCCCCGCGCCGCTGCTGGTGCCGCTGATCCCGCCGGGTCTGGCTCCGGCTCCGCGCCCGCCGCACGGTGCCCGTCAGCCGGGTCACGCCTCGCTCTACCCCGACACCCCCGCAGCGCCCGCCCCGCTCCCCGCCGCCCGTTGGCTCCGGCAGCCGCCGCTCAGCAGCCGCCTCCTCCTCCTCCTCCTCCCGCACCGACCAGGAGGAGCCTGAGCGCGGCGGCGCCGGCTCGGCAGGATTTGGGGGAGTGTGTGGTGCGGGGACACGGCGTGGCGGGTGCTTGGGTGCGACACTGCGTGCTCTGCGCGATGCCGGCGCTCGGAGCCCCCGCGGGGCGAGAGGGAGGGAGGGAGCGGGCGGACACCCCGGTCCCGTCCCGCCCCGCCACCGCCCCTCGCCCGCCTCCTCCGCCCCTCTGCTTCCGGGTTGCGGCGGTACCGGGCTGTGCCCGGGGCGGCGGGGCTGTTGCCGGGCGACCGCGCCGGGGCCCGGCCCGAGTCTGGCCGGGCTCGCCCGCTCCTCCCGCGGGCCGGCGGCACCGTGAGGCCCTGAAGCGCCCGGGAGGCAGGAAACTGCCCCGGCCGGGGTAAAAACGGGGTAAAAACGGTGCTGGAGCGGCAGATGCCGGGCTGAGGTTTCCGGGAGCGGGGCTGAGCTGGTGTGTGCGGAGAAGGGCGTGAGAGCGGTGTAGGGACTGCAGCACAAGTCCTGCGAGGAGCAGCTGAGGGAGCCGGGGGTGTTCAGCCTGGAGAAGGAAGCTCAGAGGTGGCCTTGTCACTCTCTGGAACGCCCTGAAAGGAGGCGGCACCGTGTGGTCCCGTTCAACCAGCATCAGGACAAGGGGACATCGTCTTTAGCTGGGCCAGGGAGGTTCAAGTTGGACACTGGGAGGAATTTCTTCGCAGAAAGGGTGATTAGATATTGGAATGGGTTTCCCAGAGAGGTGGTGGAGTTACCACCCCTGGAGGTGTTTAGGAAAAGACTGGACATGTCACGCAGTGCCATGTTGTAGTTGACAATCTTTTGTTCACTCAGAGGTTGAACTCCATGATCTCGAAGGTCGTTTCCACCCTGTTTGATTCTGTGACTCCTGGGATCCCTACACCACACCCCCTGCCCTTAGTCCCACCTATTGTGAAAATCACCGCCGGCTGCAGCAGAGGCCAAGGTCCGCCTGGGTCCAAGGCTGGAGGAAGGCACCTTGGCCCCTGTGCCGCTCAGCCTTCTCTGTAACAAGAGTAATTTTCTCCTTCACGCCAACTCCCATGGACTAAATAAATAAATAAATGTAAAAGGTTCCCTACAACTTACAGATGCTGTTAGCTTCACTTGTGCCCCCATGGAGGGAAAGTCCCTTCCCCATGGGAATGGATTTAGCCCTGGAGCGCAGCAGGTGCTTGACTTAGAGCGGGACTGGTGTGACAAAGGACACATCACAGCCTCGCTGTGCCATTATCTGACACAGCTTCACCAAGACAGAACAGTTCACAGGGGTACAGAGATGTCAGATTGGAGTCAAACACGGGATCTACATCTGCTCGTATGGAATTCCAGGTAAATCATACAGAGAATGTCTTGTGTGCAGCCCTTGGTCAAGGACTGCCTTTTCTCTTGTGATACACTCTTGTGCTTCATGTGTATCAAAGAAAGGTGAAGTACAACTTAGCAACATTTCACTTCTTTTCTCATAGTTTCTGCTAAACACAAGCGTTAGCATCTCTACTACAAACATTAATCTTGGTACAGCTCCTTACAGTGAAATCGTTAATCTTATCCCACTCGGTGATGCAGGGAAGAACCCAGTTTACCTTTTAATAAATCAGACTGAGTCCCCTTTACAAAGCATATTTGAGCATTCATATTAGACCACCTATTGAGGGGTTATTGTTATCTTTACCTGATTTCTTCTCTTTGCCCAAGAGATGTGCCTTGGTAGCCCAAGCACAATTTTCTCTCTTGATAATAAAAATGAGAGAGAAACCAACAGGTACATTTTTCTGTTCTTCTTTTTACATCTATTATGTGGAGCAAATATTTGAATGCATATCCTAGATCATTGAATATTTACCAGGCTACTGAATATTCTGGTGTCCTGTGGGATCTGTTCCACATTTTATAAATCAATGTTTATTGGACCAGAAGGGGAGAAAGAGAAAACTTAGCTCTCTTCCTGTAGAGGCCATCTGCATGCATTCTGCAGTTTCATTTGTAAAAGCAGCTACAACAGCCATAATTTTGGAAAATATCTAAAGCAAGTATATACACATATAAAAGAGGAAAGAAAATTAAGCCTGATGTTTACACCAGCACCAAAATGAAAGACAAGATAAAAGACAGGAATAAAACTGGTCTTCAACTTAAAAATAGAAGTGTCCAAATGTAACAATTCCAGTAAGAAAATTCTTATGGCGTTTTACATGTTTTTTCTTCAGGTGCTGGTGATACAATTGATCCCACTGAAGAAGCAATAAATTGTGCCACTGACTGATATGAGCATGACCTGTCTTCTTACATTTGTTGATTCTGGAGGCCTGAAGGCAGAGAAACGATCAGCATTATCACACATGGTGGGAAAATTCACCTAAAAAGTAGCATTTCAGTATTTGGATGAAAACCAATCTTGCTGCAAACTGGGAGATTATTTTCTGAGAAGGCTGTAGCAAGATGTATACATTGAGGGCTAAAGCAATGCTCAGAAGGGCTTAGAGAAGTTCTGTTGAAAAAAATGACCATGAAAATAGCACCAACGGAAAACTGGCGTTGGTCTAATGGTCTGTGTGTATTTAGTGCATCCAAGGCTGGTGAACTAGGTTCAGAATCTGCAGAGGAAGACTGGGCAATGTGCAGAATTAGTATTTAAGAGATATATAGCCTAGATACAATACTAATAGCTGCAAAATGAACATTTAACATATGGATAAAGTAATGACTGGTTAGAGAGCTCCCATTAGAGATATAATAGGAAATGTAAATTAATATGAGAGTGGATACCATGCTACAGAAATGAATAAATGAACCAAAGGAGAGCAAGAGCCTCGATCCAAACTGCTGGATCATCCAACCGAACCAGCATTAAGGGCACTACATGCAGCCTTTCCAGTGCCATCAACCATCCTGGCCAAAGTAAAGGTGGTGGCACAGCAGATCCAGTGCAGAGCAAAGCTGAGCAGATCTGGGGCTCTGCAGGAGGCAGTTTGGGGCCACGGGATGAGCCCTGGGTCCGTGGGGTCAGCTGCGCTGTGGGAGCCGTGGCACACCAGGAGAGAGTCGGTTTGAGATGCAGATTTTAAAGAAAGGATCAAAACGTCTGTTGCTGGAGAAATAGAGAGGATGGGAATGGAAGTTGGCTGTTCCAAGTCTTGATAGTCTTAAAAACATTTGAAAAATTCTGTGTCAAACAGGGAAGGGCAAATTAGTGCCACCTTCACAAGCACGGCGTGGTGCAGGGTCAGAGCCTGTGTTTGTGGACATTGAACCATGGGCAGCACCAGTGCCACTGGGCACTTTTGTGAGAAAAGGTGTGAAGTTTAACAAGAAGAAAATTTGTATGAAAATGGCAGTAAGCAGCTCTTTTCATTGTTTACAGTGGAAACCAGTTGTTTGGTTTTTACACTGTTCATTTTTTCCTTGAATACAGTGAAAAAGATAAATTGAGATGTCTTAGAATTTGTATGAAAATGGCAGTAAGCCATTTCATTGTTTACAGTGGAAACCAGTTATTTCGTTTTTACACTGTTCATTTTTCCTTGAATACAGTGAAAAAGATAAATTAAGATGTCTTAAAAGTTCTTAAATAATTCAAATTTTCATAATTTAAATATCAATTTTATTGATAAAAATTTAAAATGCAGATCTATATTCAGATTATTTCCTCAATTTCTACCTCATTAAAGCAGAAAGCAACAGAACATTGTGGACAGTTTCACATGTTAAGAAAAAATTTGTTCATCATGTATGTGAAAGTATCTTTTTAAACATATAATATCTGTAACTAATAAAAAATTGATTTATTACACCAATAACACAGCAATATAGTAATCTAAAATGTGTTTATAAATTATTTATATTTAATAAAAATTTATTTCAGCCATCATTATTCTTTTCAAACCTTGCCTGTGTAGCAAACTGTGCACTATACACGGTCCTGCTGATTTTGATAAACCCTGTGCCATGCACGTTTGCACTGCTGGAAATTCAAATAGAAACTTACAGCCCCTGTACATTAACCATGAAGTCTCTCCTCCTGTCCATTCCTATCACATGCTGGAACTCTTCCAAGTCCTTTTCCCAAGGCTCCTGCAATATCGCTGGTAAGATGTCATCTTTTATTAGCACGTCCACTCTGAGATACACTAACATTCATTGAAAACATAAAATGCACATCATCCATCTTTCATGTGACAGCTGCATCCCACCTACTGAACTTTCAAGCTCATGGCACACCTGGGTCAAGGTTCTGTTAATAAAATGATGCCGAGTGACAGAAGAGTGGGAGTTAACTGCCTGAAAGCATTTGATAAACTGTTACCTGTGGTTTCTATGGTTTGTTGCCTCGGGCAAATGTGCTAAAGAGGAAACAAGTAACTACAAGCCCCATTTGTCCAAGTGGGTGAATGGAGATGAAGATGAAAGGCAATGTACTCGTGTTACTCACAGCTTGATGATTTTTGTCCACTTTGTCAGGGAACTCTCTTTTGTTCCATCAAACAATTAGCTGAATATAGCTAAACTATGAGTGATAGCTAAACTATTCAAAGAAAGACAATTGTTTCTGTACTTTTGATATGTCTTTCGATATGATCTCATTATTCTATTGTTTCATAAGTAATCAAATGCACAGTGTTTCAGTTTAACCACTAAGGTTATGGTTGTATCTAGATATTGTCATTTTTGATAGTAAATAAATAACACATTAAATACATAAATATGTTGAGATAACTAGTCAAATGATCTAATATATACACATTATTAAGTGACTAATTTTTAAAATATTTTGATACACACTTCTCATTTTTGATTTGTTGTAGCATTACAAACTTTGAGAAGAGACTTTTGTAGATCCTTTGAAGTCAAACCTATTTTAAATCAACTATTTTGGAAAACATAATTCCAATATAGTAGTATTTTAACACAGTTTAGTCTGGTGATGTAAATGAGTGGAGCATTTTCCCGAGACTTAATTGCAGTTCCGAAATACCGGGTGTGTGTGCTGCATGTTGTTACCATGTTGTACCTGAGTTCTGCAGTGAGTGCTGCTGTTCATTACAGCCACAGGCAAAGGAGGCAAGGGAGAAAGGCAAAAGAGAAAGAGCTTTTCAGAGTCTCCACAATAACCCCACAGACCTGATTTTTTTTTGTTTTTTTTTTATGTGCAGCAGAACACCCAGGGAAAAAAGGCAGGAATGATCAACTTAGGCTCCTCTCCAGGATCAGTATCATATGGAAGAGATAAAAATACAAGCTGAAAAATTCAGCAGTTGATCCAGACTAAAACTGTCTTCTGCTCCTGGAACTATTCCTAGCTCAGAGAGGAAAGGAGGAAAGTGTCCCAACTCAGAGATGACTCAATGCAGAGTGGAGTGGAATGCCACACTGGCTCCCTGGGAGTTCAGGTAGGTGTGATGGTGGTGCTTGCACAAACCTTTTCAGCCCTCTGCCAGTGGCTGCTGGAAACAGAAGTAACTTTTAATCTCAGTCATTCTGTATCTGAATGAACTAAGATGTATCTGAATGGACTTAGATGTGTTCCACAAAGTACTTGATAGAGAAGAAAATTAAGTAGGAAATTACTCCTCTGTATGCCACTTGAAAAAGTGGAATTCCTGTTCAGTCTGCAATGTCCTCAGTAAAAAATAAAGATTGAAAGCAAAAACAGAATGAAAGTCAGTGTGACCTCAATAGAGAAGAACAGAGTTTAAAAAAAAATAAAAAAGAAAAAAAGCAGGGCATAACCATGTGCTCAAACATAAAGTACATAAAAGCAATTCCATTGACTTCACCAGCACCACTGATGTGCTCTGTGACTGCTGGGACCTTGACCTCAGCAGGCTGTGTGCAACCTTCTTATCATCAAGAGAGTCTAGTGTCTCTGCAAGGACAGAATATAATGAAATGGCATCACATCTAGCAGAGGAAAGCATAATGCCAATCTGCACTAGTAGTAAAAATATTCCCTGGTTATAAAATTCCTTCAATGAATTCTTTCCAGGAAAACAACATCCTGGCATTAGATATGGTCAAGCCAGGTGACCATAAGAAGAGGCAAACATGCATTTTCTTGTTTTGGTTCTTCCTTCATGACTGCACACATCTACGTCTGTGCTTGGATTTTTATTTTAAGACTGAAAAGGGCAGAAGGCAAGTGATTTATTCCAACATGCTGTGCCATTATAGCACTGAACTGGGGCTGGTTGGGCTGGGAAGTAGTTGGTTGCTAAAACCAATAAAAAATGGGAGTACCTTTAAAAGACATCTAACATGCTAATTGTTAAATTAGGCTGAAATTACATTATTTAAGAAATCTTTCAAGTGTCTGAAATGAAAGAATGTCATACATTGCAAATGTACATGAGGAAATCTAGATCTCACCATAAGGGACATCCACTGTCATTATTCTGCTATTTTTTTCTGATTTGTCTTTTATAACAACTTTGTCACCAGACAGAAAAGAAAAGAAGAAAAAAAAAAAAAAAAAAAAAAGCTAAGAGGTGGTTGACAGGTGAAAGAATGAGCAGACGGATAAATGATGTAAGAATTGGAAAAATAACATTTTAAAATTACATACAGGGTAGAGCTGGTACAAAAACAGTTGATAAAAACTGAGGCTATTTTGAATGTAGATGTTATACATCTTACTATTTTTGTTTCAACAGATAATGTGCATCATCAAAATCAGTGGAATTATACCACTACAAATAGATGTTTATTTCATATATAACAAGAAATAACTGAATTAATTTTCAAGTCTGCTTTTCCATCTCTCTCTTTGCTTGGTTATTTTGTTTGGCTTAGCTTTATTCCCTCCAAATGATGCCATCTATTCATGGCATCTTCAATTCATGTTGCTGTTCTCACCATTTCTGATTGATTTTGTTGTTAAATCTATCTATTCCTACACACCTTTTGGTGCGCAGACTGGAAGCAAATATCTGGAAGGCACATTTTGATTATGAAAGTACAGGTGCTAGTGAACATTAGTGAGATTCTTTGTGTGATACAAACAGAATCCCAGCATGTACAAAATCAAGGAATCATGGATGCACTGTGGCTGGAAGGACCACAGAAGATCTTAGCCCAAAGCAAGGTTGCACCAGGGTGCTCAGAGATTTGACAGGTTAGGTGCTGAACACCCCCTGGGGTAGTGGATTCACAGCCTCTCCAGACCACCTGTCCCAGCCTTGACTGGATTTGCTGAAGTTTGTCACCACCCTTTTTACATTTCCTTCTAGACTCCAGCTTTAGAGTCCAAGGAATCCCAATTCAATTGACTGGTGTACCACAGTGCATAGGGCTGTATGAGCACACCCCCACACTCTGTACTTCCCTGCACTACATTGCAAGAA